GGCTGCTCTCCGTGCACCTGAGAGCCGCCGCCCGGGTCCTCGAAGCTGCAGCCGTCGCCGTCCCCGCCGCCATGAACCGCTTCAAGGTGTCCAAGTTCCGGCACACAGAAGCCCGGCCGCCCCGCCGCGAGGTGAGCCCCGCGCCGTCGCCCTCGTCCGCCCCTCCCCCATCCCCGGGCCCCATCGGGGGGACCCCCGAGTCCGCCTGCCCGGGGCGCCCCCTTCTGGCTCGGTTCGCAGCCGCTGCCGCCCCGCCTCCGTCTGGCGGGCAGAGTCCGCGGCTCCGGGACTCTGGGCGCTGGGTGAGCGGGGTGGTCAGCGGGCCCGCCCGCCGGGACCCCCAGGAGGCGCGGTCGTCCGCCCGGCGGAGGGAGGCCTAGGCCTGCGGGGCAGCCTGCTAGCCTTCCCGGCTTCCGGCCGGCCGGGCCCGGGGCCGCGATTCGGGCGCTGCGGGCCGGCCCCTCCTCCCCCCCGCCCCGATCGCCCCTGCTGGGGCCTGGGGTGTGGCAGAGATGCGCTCTTCACCCTGGCCGCAGCGTCCGTCCGATGTGTCGGCCGGGGAGTGGAAGCCCCCGGGCCAGAGGCGCGCCCCTCCCTCGAGTTTCCGCTGGCGCTTCCTCCTCTCGCTGCTGCTGCTGCTGGCGCAAGCTCTTCGCTGACTCCGGGTGATGCTGCCAGGGGCGGGGTGGGGCCTGGCTGAGCCCGAGCAGGTGGAGCCCAGAGGAGGAGCTGAGTGAGCCAGGTGCTGGGGGGAATGCCCGGACCCCGGAAGGGCAGCTAGCGAGGGGTGTGTTTCAGAGAGATGGCAGCCTTGCACTGCTCTTCCACCGGATCTGGGTGGCCTGCAGGAGTTCTCTAGTAGCTGAGCCTAGAACTGCCCTCTAGTGACCCCGTGGAGAGATAGGGAACGACAGGACAGCCTGGGGCCGAACCAGTGTCTATTCTTGGACAGTGTTCCTCCTGAACCCGGGATTGCTGGGTCTGCCGCCGAAACTGCAGGGGTGGTCGGGAGGACACTGTCTAGTCTGCTGCTGAGGGAGACAGCCAGGTCCGCTAGGGCACTGGAGTTTTAATAAGTGTGTTGAAAGACACGCGGGGGGGCTGGAGATGGATATTATGTCTAGGTGGGGTCATCTCAATAAGGTGGTCAGGGCAGGCTGCCTGGAGGAGGTGACATTTAAGCTGAGCCCAAAAGGTTGAGTCGCAGCCAGCTATGAGCCGACTGGAGTAGGAAAGGGCCTGGCTGAGGAAGGACAAGTGGCCCAAGGTGGCTGGAGGGAGGTGACAGGGACGCAGGGTGTTGACCAGGCTAGAGTAGTTCTGTAGAGCCTGAGGGTGAGTGCACGTGGTGTCAGTAACGGTTGAAGGGGTTGGTAGACAGTGGCTTAGGTTTGTATTTCAGCAGTGATTCTGAGAGTCTCAGCACTGCCTGCAGGGTCTGGAGTGTTCCCCGGGGTCTTGGGGCTTGCTCTTGGTGTGCCTCAAGTCAGGTGGGAACACAGTCGGTTCTGGAGCCCCAGATTCTGGGGAAGAGCGCAGAACAGTTTCTGCGTGGCGATGGCCAAGGCGCCCCCGCCTCAGTCTGCAGCAGAGCCGCGGGTCCCGAGGGCGGCGGCGGGCGAGCATCGAGATAGAAACTCGGGTGGCGGAGGTGGTTTCCGGGAGGCTGTGGGGGTGGGGTCGACTAGGAAGTGAGGTTGTCGATTTGGGGTGGCAGGAAGGAGTGTTGTGGGTGCTCTGATGCCAGGAGAGAAAACGTCTGGCCCTGGTGGCCAGCTCCAGAAAGGTGCGCCGTGCTGCCCACGGTGGCTGCCGAGCTTGCCCTTCTGTTTCAGCTTTATTTACTCGTGCATACGGAACTGGGGTGCAGACCAGAGGGTGGGGGGGAGGACTCACCAGAGACACAGTGGGGAGCAGAACAGGCAGAGGGACGAAGTACTGCCGAGGGGAGCAGCGGGGAGACAGGAGAGGACCGACCTGTGTTGAAATGGCTGCGGCGTTCTAACCCCTGTGCCACCAGGAAGGGCGCCCCTCACTCCTTCTCGTGGGCGGGCCATACGCCCACCGCTGGGGCTCGGCTTTCCCCCTTTCTGAGCCTGGGTGCTCTTGGCTGGGCCTCATGGAGACCTCTGAGGAAGTGGAGCCGTGTCCCGCCTCAGGGACTCACTTCTCTTTTCTCTCCCTTTCAGCAGAGACAGACACCCCCACCCCTGGCCACACGGTGCGCACACTGCCGCTAGCCCCGCGGCTGTGCGCGGCCTGAGCCCCTGAAAACCTGCTCCCCCTTAGAGAACAGAGGCAAGCACAGGGCCCCTTCACGGCATAGTATCGCTTCAGGAACGCGTGGCGTCTTCTGCAGGCTGCGAGCAGGCGCCGTCCACGGGCCGCATCTTCAGAGGTGCGGCGTTTAGGTCGAGTGGCTCTGGTCTGTGCCCCGCCCCTGCTTGGGCGCCGCGAGCCCTGGGCTCACACCTTCTCCTTCTGTATTTTCAGGCCTGGATCAGTGACATTCATGCAGGAACCGCCCCCTGCTGTGGGAACCAGATCAAGTCGAGTTGCAGCTTGATTGCCTTCAACTCGGACCGTGCAGGTAGAACAGCGAGTCAAAGATTTATTTATGTATTTATGCATGCAGGAACTCTGCAGGCCAGGGGTGCAAGGGTGAGAGGATCCACCAGAGCAGAGCGGGGAGCAGAACAGCAGGATGGACCACAACCCACTGCTGAGGGGGCAGTGGGGAGACAGGCGGGGTCTGCTGCGCCCTGGGGGGTCCCTCCCTGGCTGGGGATCAAACTCATGCTGCAGTGGCTGCGGCCAGCTTCATAGAGCTGCATTGCGTCGCCAGGGAGGGCCTGGAGCAGCGATTCAGACTTTGTCCCTTGGGTGTGTGGGTGCAGGGGCTGGCTCATCACAGGCTGGAGGCTGGGTGGGGCCTGTTGGGGCTCAGAGGCAGCACCACCCGGTGCTTGGTCCCCTGCTAGGGGCAAGGGGCAGCAATGAGATCAGCATCATGTTGGCTAGTCTGCGAGTGCCCCAGGAGGGTGGGCAGAGCGGTCCCCTTTATTTCCAGATGGCCCCAGATGCTACCTGCGCCTCCCCGGTGTGTGGGGTGGCGGGTCTGTAGGGCCAGAGAGATCTTCAGACTCCTGGTGCCAACTGGGATTCTTGGTTGCTGCTGATAGCTCAGACTCAGCGACTTAGGCAAAGATCAGGGCTCTTCCCGCGTGTGGCAAGCCCTGGGGCCTTGGGCATAGCTGCTTGCAGACAGAGGCCCCACCAGCCCCAGCCGACCTCTGCTGTCGTTCAGCTCGGCCAAGTCTTTTTTCTCAGGGAAGCTGAGCAAAGTGGCAGGCGGCAGGCCCATGCTGACTGACCGCTTAGGACCCCCAATGCTAAAAAGTTACAACTTCTTAGCACACCCCAGTGCCTGGAGTAGTCGCTGCCCAGAGTGGAGGCTCTGGCGGGCCCGGGCCGGGCTCGGCAGATGCTCCTCTGGGAGTCCTGCCATGGCGGCCCCCTTCGGCCTGAAACCAGAGCCCCGTGCTCTTCCCTCAGGTGTGCTGGGCATCGTGCCTCTGGACGGCCAGGGAGAGCACAAGGGACATGTGACCCACCTAGGCTGCCATTCAGGTGAGTGGGGCCCCCTGGAAGCCTGGGGCTCCCCTCTTCCTTCTCTGGGGCCCTCACCGTGCCTTCAGATAGACGGGGTCCCCAAGGAATGGCTGGTCCTGGCTGAGAATTCTGGCCTGGGCAGCGAGAGGGGAGCTGTCCAGTCGGAAGGCGCGGGAGTACCCCGCCCGCCAGGCCCAGGGCAGTGCGGCCTTGCCTCTGGGGCCTCCCCGACAGGGTTCTCTCCCGGGAAGCCCCGCGGACAACCCAGCCAGGGCCCCCTGGGGGGAGTTGGCCGGGCTGCAGGGCCAGAGATGGGGCCTCACAAAGAGAGCTTTTGTCTGCTGCAGCTGCTTCTGGGGGCGCCGGGCAGCCTGCCTGGCAGCCGGCCCAGCGGGAGGAACCATTGGCTCTCCCGGGCTGGGCAGTGCCCGCGTCAGCCCGCTGCCTCCTTGCTCCTTGTCTGGCCGAGGTGGCGGCAGTGGCGGCCCACTGGCTCGCCCCGGGCCCCTGGGCAGGGTGTGCCGCCCCTGGACACAGGCGGCCTGGCGCGCTGTGGCAGGAGTGAAGGCCGCGCGGGCTGCGTGTGCTTATGGCCGTCTGCGTTTCCTGTCTGACCTTTTTCACAGCTTCACAGCACCTCTACTGAGGAGTCATTCCCACACCACTGAACTTCTGGTTTCGTGGAGGATTTGGTGGCCTTGCCCACGGTCCGGGGTCGTGTGTTCCGCCACCCAGTGGCAGAACATTCCCACTGCCCCAGAAGACTCCCAAACGGCCGCGGGCCCTTTGTGGCTCATCCGCTTCCAGCCACACCTGCAGCCACCTTCCCGGGAGTTTTCGAGGAGCAGGGCCACACCTTGCCATCGGCTCCCCGAGCCGAGGGGACCAGAGGGTGGCGTCCTCAGGGCCTGGCATTTCCGCCTTCCCTCGCAGAGACCTGTACGGGTTCCTGCTGTGCGGACAGGCATGACCCCGTGCCACTCTGTGGTCTCCATCCAGCTGGGTGACCTCTCCGTGCTGAGGCGTGGATGGGTTGTTTCTCTTCTGCTCCCACCCCTTTATAAAGTGGGTTTTAAAGGAACACATTTATTGGCCAAGAAAGCTGAGGCTTGGCCCCCAGGACCCATGGCGGGCCCCGAACCAGGGAGAGCGTCTCTGGCACCGTGTTCCCCCAGGCCCCTGCTGCCTGGAAGCTGCCCCAAGGTGGTGATGTTTGCAGGGTGGGGACCCTCGCTACTGGGGGGCTCCAAACAAGCTGGGCCAGGCTGCCTGCACAGGTGGTGGCCGCCCCGGGGCCCCATGCACCCCCTCAGAGCTGGCACCCCTGTCTGTCCTAGCCGGCGTCTGCTGATCGGGCTGGGGGCTGGGCTCTGGTGCCGCCTATCCTGGCTCAGGGCCGAGCATCCCCGGGAGCAGAGGGCTGGGCAGCATCGCGAAGCATCTCTCAGGTCCAGGCTGGGGTGGGCAGGGCCTCGGCAGGGCCCTGCTGAGCTGTGAGAACCCAGGCAGGTGGCTTCTTTCTCCCCCTCGCGCTCCCCTACGTCAGTCGGGGGTGATAGTGGGGCGCTGTGCTGAGGAGTTGGAGGACAGATGCTCCTAAAGGACGCAGCTGGGCGCTCCTTGCTGCTGAGTCCGGCCTGGCCCTGGTCTCCTCGGGGGGGACCCCACCTGACCCCATGGAGGCGGGGGTGTGGGGGTGCAGTCACGGCGCTCCTCTCTGGTGGTGCGGACCTGGTCATCCTGCTCACCTCGTCTGCGCCCCCACAGCTGAGCCTGGGAGACCTTTTCTGCGCCTGCCTCCCCTCTCCAGGCCTTCCCGGCTGAGCAGTTCAGGACCTCTGGTCTGAAAGAACTGACTCCGAAGTCAGCTGGCCTGCGCCAGAGAGGGGCGCACTGGGGACTCTTGGGGCGCTTGCAGAACCCAGGGAGTACTGGCCACACTGCGGAGGCTCCCGCCCAGCTGGCTGCCCTCCGTCTGGCCAGCCCCGCGGGCGCCCTGTCGCTGGGCCTTCCCGTTCCAGGGTCGTCCCCTCCAGAGGAGGCACTGACCTGCTTGGGTCAGGGACGTTCCCGCAGGTGGACCCGCCCATCCCGGCGTGGGGGACACTCTTCCTGGGCTGGGCTGCTCACAGGAGGAGACACTCCTCCCACCCCAGCCACCCGAGCCCTCCAGTCCGCCACCTCCTCTGGAGCCCACCATGCACCCCAGGAGGCCTAGGCTGACCCCCGGCCTTGCGGTCACTCTGCAGACACAGCTGCTCCCTGAGTGCTTGGGCGTGTCTCCCGTCTCCCGAGGAGGCGCTGTGCGTCCGCCAGGCCGGGGTGGTGTCTGGGCCCCCTTGGCCCACGATCAGTCACACGTTGTGGGTCAGGCCTGAGCTGGGCTCTGGGATTTAGGGGAGCCAGGCGCCCACATGTCAGCCTGCCCGGCCCTGCTGGCCCCCCGCCGTGGCCCTGGGCCCGCGAGTCTGAGTCGCAGGACGCAGGCGGGCCGGGGCCGGTGGCCGGAGGCTCGGCCGCCTGTGGAGGTGGACGCGTTGCTGCGGACGCCTGGGGCTGGGAGAGGCATGGGGAGACGGCTCGCCGGGCGGCAGCAGGGCTGCGGCGGGGTCTGACAGCTCCTCCTCTCCGCAGACCTGGTCACGGACCTGGACTTCTCTCCCTTTGATGACTCCCTCCTGGCCACGGGCTCCGCCGACAGGACGGTGAGTGGGCGCTGCTGAGCTGCCCTTGGCCCTGCCCTGAGTTTGCCGACCTGAAGGGGGCTGTGAGCTGCTCCTCGGCCGTGGGGAGGTGGTGTGGGGACGTGTCTCCCCGGCCTCTGCCCGCACCCCCAACCCGGCCCCTCAGCCCCACGCCCACGGTGACGCTGGGGGCAGCCCCGGGCAGGGCTGGCTGGAGGGAGACGGCCAGCCCGGCTCACGGCCTCCGCCCTTCCTGCAGGTGAAGCTGTGGCGGCTGCCGGCCCCCGGCCAGGCGCCCCCCTCGCAGCCCGGCCTGGCGCTGGGCCCCGAGGCCGCGCAGCTGGAGGCGCTGCAGTTCCACCCGACCGCGGACGGCGTGCTGCTGAGCGCCGCGGGCCCTGCCGTGAAGCTGTGGGACGTGGCGAGGCGGCAGCCCCTCTCAGGTACGGCCTCGCGTGGCTTTCAGGTGACGTGAGCGTGACGTGTGGGTGGCAGGAGAAGCCAGGAGCTGTGAGACGGCGCCGAGCCCCCAGTGCCGCGCCCCAGCCGCCTCAGGCGCTGTCTCCCTCGGCGGTGCGGACAGCCGCCCACCGGCATCTCTGCTGCTGTGGCCTGTGGCCTGTAGGGTCCTCCCTGACGCGCTCACCCCCTCAGGGTGAAGACAGGTGCTCAGACACTTGCTGCTGGGGTGGGCCCCAGGGGCCGCAGCCGCATGCCCGGGCGTCGCGGGGCTCCCTCCTGAGGCAGCAGCTGGGGGGAGCTCAGCCAGTGCGCCCCACATCCTGTGTCACAGGGCCACCAACTGTCCCGGGCAGCCCTGGTGCCTCGGGAGGTGCCGCGTGCCACGTGCCCCGCGCTGGGCCTCAGGCTGGCGCTGGGCCTCTGCTGTGGCCGTCGCTGGACAGGCGGGGCCGGCCCGGGGCCCAGGCCGCAGCCGCCCTCGGCGCTCATTGCGGGAACAGGACCCCGAAGGGTAGAGCCGCGAACACTGTCGCCTCCCGCCCTTTGGGCCGCGCGTGGGGCGCCTCACCAGAGGCGGCCCCTTCCCCAGGGAGTGGCCGGAGCCACCCCACGGACCCCGCCTTGTTGGCCACGGGCCAGCACTGCGGGTCTCTGGTGAGAGGCGGTGTGAGTCTGCTCCGCGGGGGGACGGGGCGGGCGCCGCGGAGTGCGCCCACTGCTTCAGCGGGGAAGCTCGCTTTCTTGGTCCTGGGGCCCAGAAGGCCAAGGCCAAGGATGCAGCATGGGTGCTTCTGAGAGCCTGGGCGCGCCCGGGCCACGGCGCCCTGTCCCCTACTCAGTCGCCTCCCCTCCCTGCGAGTCTGTCTCTGCCCCGTGCCCCTTCCCTCGGGACACGGCTGCTGCCCTGTCGGCGGGGCCCGCTCACCTCACCACCTCACCTAACGAGGTCGTCTGCAGACCCAGATCCACCAGCATGTCCACAGGTGCTGCGGGCCTGGGCTTCTTCATCCTTGGGCCGGGGCATGACTGGGCCTGTAACAGGAGCGTCAAAGCTTTTGCGGTTGCACTTAAACGGGGTGGCCCGTGGGTGCGGCTTGAGCCTGCCTGGGTGAGAGCCGGCTGAGGGCGGGGCCTGGGCGGGCTGAGGGCGGGGCCTGGGCGGACTGAGGGCGGGGCTTGGGCGAGCTGTGGGCGGGGCTTTGGCGGACTGAGGGCGGGGCCTGGATGGGCTGAGGGCGGGGCCCGGCGCGCTGAGGGAGGGGCCTGGAGGCGAGCTGAGGGCGGGGCCTGGGCGGGCTGAGGGGGGGCCTGGAGGTGGACTGAGGGAGGGGCCTGGGCGGGCTGAGGGTGGGGCACGGGGGCGGGCTGAAGGCGGGGCCTGGGTGAGCTGAGGGCGGGGCCTGGGTGGGCTGAGGGCCGGGCCTGGCGGGCTGAGAGAGAGCCCTTCCTCCCGCCTCAGGGACGCTTGCAGCTGCGGCCTCTGCCTGGCCTGCCCCCAGGGCCCCCATCTGACCTCCCCTGTTCCTCCACAGAGCTGGCGGCCCACGGAGACCTGGTGCAGGGCGCTGTGTGGAGCCGGGACGGGGCCCTGGTGGGCACAGCCTGCAAGGTAAGTGGTGGGCCCTGTTCTGTGGGCCAAGGCCTGTGACCCACGTCCCGCTGCCCGCACCCTTCTGGCGCACCCCCACTCCCCCCTTGCACCAGGCACTGGGGGCTCACGTGCAGGCCGGCACGCCCGCTGGCCCTGGCCGCCCGGCTAGGTTGGAGGGACCTGAGCTTGGCCACCGTGTCAGTGGAGCTGGGCTGGGCGGCTGTCTGAGCGCCAGGTGGTCGGGTGTCTGTGGGGCCTGCAGCAGGTGGGGGCCCCCGGCAGGAGGGCGAGGGGTGCTGGGAGGGGGTGAAGGAGTTGCAGGGAGGAAGGAAGCTGGCACAGGCCTGGGCATTCACACCGGATGAGGTGTGAATCCCCCAGGGAGGTGGTGGGGACATGGGGGTCTGAGACACAGAAGACACAACCCATTGGGCTTGGGGGTGTGCACAGCCTCCAGGACCTCTGGGGTGCACTGGGGCCTGAAGCCACCATGTGAAGGGCGGTGGAAGGCAAGGAAGCCACCTGTAGGGTTCTGGGCCGGGGGCTGGGGCGCTCCCGAGGGGCAGAAGGGGGGCTTCCCGCGGCAGAATGTGGGGTCGGCATCTCTACGGGGACCCTGTTTCCAGCTGGGCCTGCTCAGCTTTGCCTTCCTGAAGCCCCGAGCTCTGCTGGTCGCCAGCCCTCCCAGCGCCCCTCATGAGGCAGCAGGTTCCAGACCCGGCTAGCTCTGGGGGTGCTGGCCCGGAGGCGGCCACGGGGCCAGGGCAGTTCCCTCCCTCGGGACGCTGGTGAGGACAGGGGAGAGGGCACAGGCTGAGGGGCCCGCTGGGGTGGGGGCCATGGCCGCGCCCTCCGGGGAGAGCCACTGCCGCGTCTCCCTGCTGTGTGGGGGGCATTGAGCGAGCGTGTGGCACGTGAGGCAGACAGATGTGCAGACGGGGCAGAGCGCGGGGAGGACGCGGGGCTTGACTGGGCCCAGAGGGCGCACGCCAGCCGGGAGAACCTCCCCGGAGCCCACCGGCCAGCCTGTCCTGTCGCGGGCAGCCCTCTGGTCTGGGCCCTCCGCTGTGCCCGCCACACCTTTCCCATTCGAGTGAAGCCACCGTGTGTCCCGTTCAGCGTAATAAACTCCCCGCTGTCGGAGACGTCCGCTGGGCGGAGGGCGCGAGGGCTGCCTCTGCGTCGGTCTGTTGCCGTGGGGGCAGCAGCCCCGGGACCCTCCGCGCCGGAGCCGGGGTGGCCGACTTCCCCGCAGGGCTTGACGGTGACTGCCCAGGGTGCCTGGGCTGCACCGCCGGGTGTCCGTCCTGCCCTGGGGTGTCCGCCTCGGCGAGACACAGCCGCTCGGGCCCAGGTGGCACCGCTGGGCGTGAGGCTGGGCTGGGGACAAGGCCTCCGCCGACTGGCCCCGGGGGTGTTGGCTTGCCTGCTGCCCTGCCTGGGTTGCCAGCAGGGACTGGCATGGGGACACGGTGTGGGGTGCCCGTGGGGGGCCGTGAGGAGCACTTCAGTCTCCGGAAGAGGGGGGCTGAGGCCAGGCCTCTGTGACTGGACGCAGGACAGGCAGGGGTGCACGCGAAAGGGCTCTCGGGGTGGGGGCTCGGAGGAGGGGTTGTCGGCCTGGAGGAGGGTCCCGGGCTGCCCCACATGACGCAAACCCCAGCCTGCCCCACGCCAACCTGTCACTGCTCCTCGCCCTGCGGTCACCCCAAGGGGTAGCCCTGCGGGATCCTTAGCCCAGATGGGGAGGAGCCCCCCACGCAGCTGGTCTCAACACCCAAGCGGGGCCTCTCGGCAGGGGTCGCTGATGGCCGACCCAGCTCGTCTGCCCCAGTGTCTGAGCCCCATGGACCATGAAAACCGGGCGGGTGGGGGACTGTGGGTGTCTCGGGAGGATGAGGCGCATGATCAGGACACAGCTCAGGCCCAGCGGGCGCTCCTATGTGCTGCGGACCGGAGCCTCACGTCACGGGGCAAGCAGTGCAGGTCTCCCGGTGGGTCTTGCGTGTGAGCAAAGCCCCGCTCCCGGGCCCCGTGCTCGCCCCGTAGGGGCAGATGACCCCGGAATCCCCTCCGCCCTCACCTGTCGTGTGTGCCGGTGGGCTCCACGGCCCTGTGCCTGCTGTTCTGTGGCGGTGGTTCTTGGGCTCCTGGGTGGGTGTCAAGTGCCAGGCCCTAGGCAGTGGTGTGGCAGAGGGCTGGCCCCGGACTGCGGGCCAGCCTGGGCGCCCACACTCAGCAGTAGGCAGCATGAGCCCCTGGGGCAGTGGGCCCGGCCCCAGGTTTGCACACGGGGCTGCTGACTCTGGGGGATGGGGGTGCAGGCCTGCTCTGCTCCCATTGAACCTCCTCCCTGCAGCCGCTTCCAGCAGGGAAAACCGAGCTGCCTACCTAGCTTTGACCCTGTCCTGCCTCAGAGCAGCTCTGCTCCCAGAGCCCCCAGGGCCCCCTGCAGCCGGCCCCCTCCAGCCCCTTCCTGCGCCGGTCCAGCTGAGGGCAGGGCAGGTGGCCGCCAGGGGGCGTGCTGGCCCCGCGGATGGCTGCTGCTGTGCCGCATGGTCTCGGGTGCTAGGGTCTCAGCCCCGTGTCCTCCTCCACCGGCTGCTGCAGCCCCTCAGGGCCAGGCCAGCCTGTGTGCCCAGTCTGAACCCTGCCCTGGACCCATGTCCAGCTACTGCACTCGGTGCCCTGTGTGCCAGGACTGACCTTGGGAGGTGGCCGCCGTCCTGCCAGGGCAGGGGTTGTCTGGGCACTTGGCTGGCCATGTGGGCTGGCGTTCCGGCTCAGCCACCTGGGCGGGCCGGGCAGAGGGCCCCAGCGGCAGGCGGTATGCTCCCCAGCCCCTCGGGCTCCCGCGGGCATCTTGGGCCCGGTCCCACTGCCCCGCCCTAGCTGAACCACCGTCCAGTCCTTGGTCCAGCGGTTTTCCCGTCCCTGGCTGTCTCTCCTGTCTGTAGTCGGCCCCTCTGCCCCTTGCCGCCCCTCTCTGTCCTCTCCATCATTCTCATCTGGCTCATGCCTCAGCTGCCCCCGACCCTGAAGGTGGGAAGCCGAGTGTCCCCCACAGCAGTGCTGGGCTGTGCCTGCCACTGCCATGTTCATGTGCCCCATGGACCCCCTGGGAAGACATTGGCAGGGGGACCCCGAAGCCTGGTGCCCCTCCAGGGGGCATCACGAAGGCCCGGGACTGGTCCACTGAGGGAGGCCTGGCTTTCAAGGCTCCTCGGGCAGGTCCTTGTCCAGCCATGCGCCGGCCGCGCGCCCCCCAGCTGCACCCCTCACACCAGCCAGCCTGGCCTCACACCTTGGCTCTTGCTGCCTCCCACCCCCATGCCTTGCCCTTCCCAGCACGAGCGCCATTGTCCCTCGAGGCTCACCTTGGGCCCAAGTTCCTCCTGAAGTCCTGTGCCACCTCGGGGACAGAGTCCAGCCCTCACGGGGGACTGCCCAGACACCAGGTTGGGGCGGGAACACGAGCAGAGGAGAGGGAGCCCGGCCCCAGGTGGCCCCCGGCTGCGCCTGCCTGTGACGTCTCGCACCGCCTTGCCCCTCGAAAGGCGCCCTGCGCTGCGCTCTCGCACCCCCAGCCCCAGGCCTCGGCGCCCACCGACCTGCCCACCGGGTCCTGCCGCCCCCGGGGTCACCGCGCCGCGGCCCGCAGAGCCGTCTCTCAGACCGGCTCCTTTCACTGAGCAGCCGGCCCCCTGCTTCCCCCAAACCGTGGAGGCCGCCTGTGTGGCGGTGCCGAGAAGTAGGTCTCGGCCTCCGGCCGCCCAGCAGCGCCTTCCCCTGCCGCCGCCGGGCTCCCCTCGGCCTGGCTGCGTCACCTGCGGGGAGCCTGGAGTGCCGGCTGGCTTCTCTCGTCACGGCCCCGGAGTCGTCCGCGCTGTGGCGGCAGTTTCCTCCTCTGAAGACCGAGAGTGTCCGTGGGACAGCGCACGGCCCACGCCCGTGCCCGGGCCACCCCGCCCCTCAGCTCGCGGCCGCCACCGCTGTGACGTGGGCGTGCGGACGGTCCCCGGGCCCCCGTTTCCACTCCCGGGCAGTGATGTCAGGCCTGCGCTTGGTGGCCATCTTTGGAGAAACGTCTGTCCAAGGCGTGTGCCCCTTCACTGTCGGGGTGCCGGCGCGGAGCCTTTGCCTGGGGTCAGCTGGCCACATCCGCAGACCGAGTGCTGGGGTTTCCCTGGGTCACGTGGGGCAGAGCTCTTTACATGTCGGGGTGTGGCCCCCTTATCCGATGCGGATTGCAAGGAGTTCCTTCATCCCGTCGGCTGCCTTTCCTGCGAGTGGGGAGCAGGATCGACGGGCTGGTCAGGAGGGGTGTGCAGCACCCTGGGGTCACCCCCTGGCGGGGGAGCAAAGTCGGGCTGCAGTGGCTGCGGAGAGCTTGGTAGAGCTGCGCTTGAACCCGCTGCGCCACCAGGGAGGCCCGATGAGCAGCGCCAGAGTGGCATTGTCCCACCTGTTGGTTTTGCTTCTGTTGCCGTTGCGCTTTGGCGACATAGCCAAGACGTCATTGCTGTATCCAGGGTCGGAAAGGTCCCCGTTGTGTTTTCTTCTAGAAACGTTATGATTTGCAATCCAGCTAGCTTTATCGTGGACCAGCGTCCCGCTGTTTACCCATCCGCGTATCGAGGGGCATTTTGTCTGCTTCTGTGCTTTTTTGCAGCTGTGAGTGAAGCTGTTGTAAACATTTATGGGGACATAAGTTTGTGATTCATGTGGGTAAATACCCGAGGGCGTGCTTGCTGGATCATATGCTAGGGTTACACTTCGTGTTGTAAGGACGTGCCAGGCTGTTTTGCCAACGCGGCTGTAACGTTTTGCCTTCCCGTCAGCCACGAATGAGTTCCTATTCCTCTGCTTCCCATCAGCAGCTGGGTTTTGGATTTTCGCCATCCTGATAGGTGTGTAATGACATTTCGTTTTAATTTACAACATGCTAATGAGATATGAGGTTAAGTATCTTTTTACATCTTCATGTTTCACCTGCTGGTCTTTCTTAATGAGGTTATCTGTTCAGGTATTTTGCCCATTTTTTAATTGGCTTGTTTGTGTTTTTTTTTTAAGGTTTATATTTGCTTTTGTGTAGAAGAACTGGGGTGCAAACCAGGGGTGTGAGAGGACTCCCCAGAAACAGAGTGGGGAGCAGAGCAGGCAGAGCTACTAAAGCCGCTGGGGAGGACAGCAGTGGGGAGACAGGAGGGGTTTGCCGCACCCTGGGGCCGCAGGGGAGGGACTCCGCCCTAGAGGTGACAGTGCTGAGACGCACCCCTGGGCCACCCGATTGGTGCTTTGGATGCAAGTCCTTCTCAGGTGCTTTGCAGATATTTCCTCCCGGTCTTGTCTCACTTTCTCAGAATGTCTTCTGCAGACCTTCTGTGCCTGCATTTTAACAAAGCCCCACTGGCCCACTTTCCCTTTGCAGAGTGGACTTGTGGCGTGGTGTCTGAAATCTCTCTGCCAGACCCAAGGCATTTGTGTCTGCTCCTGTGTGTCCTCTAGAGGTCAGCTTTGTGTTCTGCATTGAGGTCTGCGACTCATTTTGAGTTAATTTTTGTGAAAGATGGAAAGTCAGTGCTGGAGTCGCTGTAACTTACGAATATGCTGCTGTTCGAGCTTCGGGTGTGGAGAGCTGCATCCTCTCTCCCACTGTCCTACCTCTGCTTCTTTGTCAGCGTCAGCGACAGTACCACTCTAGTTCTGGACTCTTCCTTTGACTGTCTTGGTGCCAGTCGCAGACTGTCTTGATTGCAGTGGCTTTCCAGTTGGGTAGTCCTCCGGCTTCGTACATCTCTAGTATTGTGTTGACCGTTCTCAGCCTTTACTTAAAGGCTAAAATCAGTCTGTCAACATCCACAGAATAACTTACTAGAATTTTCCCTGGGATCACAATGCGCCTGTAAATCAAGCTGGGAAGGACTGGTATTTTGACAACGCTGCATCTTTCTATATCCATGAACATGGACTATCTCTCTGTTTACTTAGGTCCTCTTTGATTTCTTTCGTCACAGTTTTGTAGTAATTCCCACGCAGGTCTCATATATTTCTCGTTAGATTTATAGCAAAGTATTTCAATTTTGAGGGTACTGACTTAAATGTATTTTTAATTTCAAATTCAAATTGTTCATTGCTTGTTCATTGTTTTCCAAAACGTGAAAATACGAACTTGTGCTGACTGAACCAAAGTGAAGCTGTGCTAAGATGTGAAAAACGGGCCATCCCTACCTTCCCCCAACCTTGGCACCCAGCGGTAACACCACGTGTGCCGGTCAGGACCCTTCCTCTGGCCCAACGAACTTACAAACACACAGGGACATTGTCCACAAGTAGGGTTTGTGTTTATTTTTACCATGCCATGTTATTCTACAACTTCCTCCTAGGACTTAAAAATATACTTTGTCCAAACCTGTAAATGGTCGTTGGATGAAGGCAGCTCTTCCTGCACGTATGCTTCTCTCTCACACTGTTTCACAGCAGTGAAATCTTCAAGCAGTATTTCCTTTCTCTTTTGTCTCCCTGCTAACTCCCCCACCCACCGCCCGCCCCTGCCTTGGGTAACACGAGCAGTAACTGTGTGCTGAGTGAGGGACAGGTGATCTCATCCCGTTAGGTGCCCAGTGTAGAAGTGATGGGACCCCGACCTCCTCAAGGCCGGGCTGAGTGCAGGGCTGGGCGCAGGTATAGCAGGAATGTGGTTCTGGGCCTCAGTTTCTCCACCTGTGAAGAGGTCATGGCGATGAATGTCTAGCAGTTGGGGGAAAGCACATAATAGGTGCTGAACTCTCATTGCTGAGTTCTCTGTACTGGTGACTGGGGTGGGGGGACCAGGGGGCCTTGAGACCCCTCCAGTGAGATGCAGGAACCAGGCTGGGGGGGCATGCCAGGGTGTGACGCGCAGGTCCCCTGGGGTGGGAAGGCAAGCCAGCCCAGGACCCTGCCCTCCCACTGTGCTCTCATTTGCTCTTCTCTACTTTTCCAGGACAAGCAGCTGAGGATCTTTGACCCCAGGGCGCAGCCCAAGGCCACCCAGGTGAGTTTCGGTAGAAGGTTGGCTTAAAGCTTCCTCTTGACCTGAGCCCCACGGTGCCAGTAGGCAAGAGGCTGGGCTCTGCCCGGGCACTCAGATCCCGTCGTGTCCTCTGGCTGCAGTGCTGAGATGCCATGGTATGGGGGTCACCTGCACCCTAGCTCTTTCTGGGAAGTGTGTTTAGGATCCCACAGAGGACTGATCACAGGGCTGCAGGCCGTCAGTGGAGGCGCCCTGTGGCTTCAGGAAGCTAATTTGAGACTCCAGCTTCCTCTTGAGACCCTAACCCCCCACTCACCCTTCCCGGCAGACAGCCACGGAGGGCACGGCCTGTGCCCTGTCCCTCCTGGTCCCACAGCTGCAGGGTCAGCGCCCAGAGGACTGAGAGCTGTGCTCGGGGCTGGGGGCGGGAGGGGAGGGTCTGCCAGACCCTCAGGACCCGGAGCCTGGGCGTGTGGCTGTGCATTTTGGGGTGTGGGTTCCTGCCACAGGCACCAAGCTCCCGGGAGTTGGTTCTGCAAGCTATAGCAGCTCCCTGCCAGTGCAGGTCCCAGGGGATGGAGCAGGCACAGGCTACTTGCCAGGGGCTTCTCGACGCAGGGTGGTTAGCGCTTCCTGAGGACTGGACTGGAGCTGACGCCAGCTGGCTGGGGAGTCTGGGGGGTGCCTGGGCTAGGAAAGGGCCCATCACCCCAGCTGGGGAAAGCCATCAGGCGATTCTAAGAAGGAAGTGAAATGAGCAGCTGTATGTTTTTCAAATGAACTTTCTAGAAGCAGAGGCGCTGTGTTCCCGCAGGAAAGTGAAGTCCAGGGTCCTGTGCTGACCTAACCCCCCAGCGAAGCCCCAGGCCCTTCACAGATTTGGGTTCCACCTCGGGGCATGTCCCCAACTCGCATCAGGGTGACCCGCCAGCCTACCCCGCCCCAGGACTGGCGGGGGCTGTTCCTCTCACACGCAGGCCCCCTTCTCTCTGCAAGTGGCAGCTTCTCGCCCGAGCAGGCCACTCAGTTCTCACTGGCTGCAGACCCAGACGGGGCCTCAGCCTGGCAGGTGCCAGGTGAGCCGGGCCAGGCGGAAGTGGTCGAGGCCCCACCCTGGCCGTGGGGGCTGGCGGGCTGGCTGGGAAGGGAGGGCCTCACCACAGCTTTCTCTGGCTCGCTTCCAAGCCTCTACCCAGAAAGAAGCTCCCGGGTTCAGCTGGGAGGACAGTGAAGCCTTCCCCGCAGCCTCCTCGGGCTGCCCTCTCCCTTCGGGTCCTGGGGCACAGCCCCCTGCCCTGGCGGGTCCTGTGTCCGGCCCAGGGAGCTGGCCGCAGCCTCCAGCGCCGGGCGGGGGTGGAGCCGCAGTGGAGGCGGATCGGCTGCCGTCCAAGGGGCTCTGAGTCCCTAGCTGAGAGAGGATCTGGTTCTGGGGACCCCCTACGGGGCTTCTGGGGCGAGGAGACCTGGGAAGAGCGTGGGTGGCTCCCCCCTGCAGCTGCTGGGCCGCTGCCTGCCCCTCGCGGGGGCAGCGGGCCTGGAATGCGCCCTCCGCGCCGCCCTGCCCCCACTTCCGCCCGGGGCATCTGGCCCACACCTGGCTTCCATTAGGGAAACCGCTGTTGGCGGCCAGGTCGGTGTGAGCCGAGGGGCGGCGGGGCGCCTGCAGGGAGCACCTTCTCCCGCGAGCCTCCTTCCCGCCGGCGGGGGCTGCGCTGGGGTCGAGGAGGGGCCCTTGTCTGGCCTCTGCCCCCCACCCCGGGTGCCAGCGACCGGCCCCAGAGCCGGGCCATTCTCCCCTCCTGTCTGCTTTGGGTCCTACTCTGGAGACCGGAGCGGCGGACCCGGCGCACCCCGCTTCGGTTCAGACGGCACGTGCGAGCAGCTGCTGTGCCCGGCCTCGGCAGGCGTGACCCCGCCACCTCAGTCTGCCCAGCGTTTCTGCCCAGGCTGTCCTGCTGAGCGGCAGCGGCAAGAGGGGCAAGAGGGGCTTCGGAGCCCCTCTGCTGGCCTCCTCTCCCAGGGCCAGGGAGGGGGTGTCGAGGCCCTGAGGGGTGGTGGGGCCAGGGAAGGGGCAGCTTGAGGCTAGGGAGGAGCCCTGGGTCTGAGGCACCCTCACCTGGAGTAGGAGGGTGCCCGGAGCCCTCTGCCCGCTGGTGTGGTCAAGCAGGCACATCAGGTGGGCCCCAAATGAGTCTGGCTGAGTAGGGCTGGTCGGGTAGTGAGGCCTCACCTCTGGAGAGGGTCTCTCAGGGAGGAAGGCGCCGGCAGGCCTCCCCCCCACCCCCCCACCGGAAGTGTTACCATGGTGACAGGGAGGTTTTGGCTGCACCCCAGCTGGAACAGGGTATGCGTCTGCCCCTGAGCCCCTGCACCCCTGCACCCGCCTGCTCTCGGGGCCAGGTGTGGGGGTCTGGGGGTGCCAAGTGCAGCTGCTGCTGGGAGATGGCCCTCCCCCGTGAGAAGCCCCGGCCGGACTGCACACAAGATCACCTCCAGAGGCTTCGGGGGGGCGGGCAGTGCTGGGGCTGCGGCAGCAGGGTGCTGGGCTCCCACTGCAGCTGCCCCCCGCCCCAGGAAAGCGAGGATCTGGGCATCTGGAGAGTGCCCTCCTCCCCGATTCCTGCTGAGGTCAGCAAAGAACTTGCCAATTTTGAAAATGAAAATCACTCCAGTGATTTGGGATAAAATGGGAGGGGGGCTCCCGGTGGGCCCAGGAGACAGAGCTGGGGTGCCCAGAGCGGGCTTCTCCGGGGGCCTTGAAGGTGGCAGCAGATGCCCGCTCTGCACACTGCCCTGCAAAGGCCCGTCCCCCGGCCAGCCAGCCTGCGGGGATCTCCTGGCAGCCCCACGTCCGGAGTGGCCAGGGCCCAGCGCTCCCCGGGCCCGGCCTGTGGCTGTGGCTCCAGTGTGTCCTTGCCTGTCCCCCATGGTCCTTGTGAGAGGGGCTGAGCACCTCGTTGGCGTTGACGCTCACACCCCCAGGGGCGCCCCCAGAGAACTCTAGAGGGAGGGAAACAGCCACGAAGCCCGAGGCGGCCGAGCACTCCAGGGTGGTGCTCCCACCTCCTGCTCTGCTGTGCCCCTGTGCCCCAGCTCAGTGTCGTGTGGGCGGTGGCTCCCAGGTCACGCAAGGACAGACCAGGAGCGGTCCTGCCTCGCTGAGTGGCGGCAGGCGGCCCGGGGCCGGTTAGCCCTGTGTGCAGGGGCCCTCGGCAGCCATCCGTTTGCTGCTCTCACGGGGCTAGCTGCCCACAGGGCGCTTCGACTGGCCACTGGGATGCCGGGCCCCGACCCACGGTGCCCCTCGCGCAGTGAAGGGTAGGACCCTAGCTCTCAGGCTCCATCGGACTTCCTGTGCCGGCCTGGGCGGGGAGGGAGCAGTGAGAAAAGCCCCTTGACCACGCTGCGAGTGTTTGCAGCGGGTAGGCCTCCAGGGCTGGGGAGGGGGCGCGGGCCAGCTCCTCGGGAGGCTGCCTCCCTCGCGCTCATTCCCAAGGAGATCGTGGGAAGCTTGGAGGAAGCTGGCCACAGTTTGGGGTGAGCTATTTTTGGTAACCGGGTCTTCAGTCCCAGGCTCCAGGGGCGGGGGTGACCGGGAGTGCTGCTTGCATTTCCTCCAACCCCCCAGTCCCCACTGCCTGGGCTCGGGGGACCAGGCCTCCCGCGCGCGGTGCGACCTCGTGGTGTGACCTCCTCTCCTCCTGGCCACGAGGCCTCCTGCTGGTAGGCCCAGCAACGCGGCAGAGCGGAGGGGCGCTTCTCTGTCCTCTCCGGGGACTGTCCCCAGAGCTGGCCTGGCCCCGGCCTGGGCCTGCCCCTGGCAGCGTCCGAGGAGGCCGAGATGCTCGTAATCCCACGATTTGCACAGGGCTCTGCGGGAGGCAGGCAGCCATCGTGTGCCCCGCTCTTAAGAGCAGTGAGGCGCCAGGAGGGCACGGGGTCCCCAGAGTGGGACCTGAGCCACCTCCGGACACCTGTGGGAGAGCAGGGCTGGCCGGGGTGAGCAGGGTGGGCCGTGGACCCCACCCGTGGCAGGCAGCCCGGGGGGGTTCCAGCCGCCCCGCCCCCCTCAGGGGCTCAGCGCATCTCTTGTCCCCTAGAGCACGCAGGCCCACGAGAACAGCCGGGATGGCCGGCTGGTGTGGACGGGCATCCAGGAGCACCTCGTGTCCACCGGCTTCAACCAGGTAGGGTCTCAGGCTGTGCCAGGCACCCACACCAAGGGCAGGGCTGAGGCCCACTGGGAGGCGAGGCCGCTGGCCAGCTCCAGGCTGTCCATATACGGCTGTGTGTGTGCAGCGGGTGTCAGGGCCTCAAGGGACAGGCCGCTGAGAGCAGGAGATTCCATTTGCAGTAGCTAAGCCCAAGCCTGGGAACCGTGGTCGCCCCACCGGGGCCAGAGTCCGAGAGGGCCCGCCCCCACCCCCTGTCGCCTGGGCTCCCCGGCGCCCCTGCCCCCATGCTGCTTGGGGCAGGTGACTCGGGCCAGGCTCGCCCTCGGGCCGGGGCCCCAGGCAGCACCCTGACCCCCACCCTCCCTGCAGATGCGCGAGCGTGAAGTGAGACTCTGGGACACCCGGCACTTCTCCAGCGCTGTCGCCACCCTCACGCTGGACACGGCGCCCGGGTAGGAGTGGCCGCCTGCCAAGGCCGGCGGGGCATGGAGGGCCTGGAGGGCGGCACTGCTGGGCACCCCAGGCGCCGTTGGGGGGCTGCTGAGTGCAGGGCGCCGACGCTGGAGTGTGGGAGGCGTCGCCAGGGTGGTGGGAGGCTCCGGAGCTGGGCGGGAGGTCTTTGCAGAAGAAGCCTGTGTCCGGGCCTCGACTCCCCCATGGGCGCGGTGAGGACCACCCTCCTGGCAGAGCGGAATGCCCACTTGTCCCAAGTGGTCCCCGCGCAGGGCAGCCCAGGCGCAGGGCAGGCGCCCACAGGGGCCGTGCAGGGCGGCTCAGCCTCTGAGGGTCTGGGCCCAGGCCGTGTGAGCGTGTGCTTGGCTTTGCCGGCGCGGGGCAAGGTGGCCCTGGGTGATGGGGACACATGGGCTGGCGGCTGGAGGAGGCGGCCGAGAGGCGGTCGCCGAGGGCCTTGAGGCCCCGCCCCCAGCGCACAGCTCCGCTGCAGTGGTTCAGGGGGTTGAGGGCCAGGCAGCACCCCCACGCCCCCACCCCCCACCACTGGGGGCCACACGGCTCTTGCCTGAGCCCCTCGGAGCCACGCTGGAGGGGCAGAGCCAGGGAGGCCGCGGGCTCGGCTCACCACTGCCCACTCCCGTTTCGCCACGGAGCAGGCGTGGAGGGCCAAGGGCCTGCCAGGGCAGAGGCTGGATGCCAGGAGAACTCCCGCCAGCTGTCCCTGGCCGAGAAGGGGGCCGGGCCAGTGGGGTCCACGCTTAACCCCTTTCGTGACTCAGGACAGGCGGGCGGACTGGCGAGACCCTGCCCGTGGAGCAGCGCTGGGCAGGGGCGCAGGTCGCTGTGTCCGGGCTCTGGGGCCCCGGGTGTGGGGGTCAGACTCCGACCCCTGGCTCCGTGTCCAGTACCTGCTCTGCCCCGATGCCTTTCTGGCCTCTGGCCCTCAGCCCTCCCAGGCCAGTCTCTTCCCTGCCGGCCACAGTGGAGGCAGCCCGCGAGCCGGCCCAACCTGGCCAGGGGACCAGGCCTCCCCGCCCACCACTTCCTGCCTGCCCGGCTTGCTCACCCCCTCCCCCAGGAGCAGTCCACCGCCCAGCCCCGCGTGGCCTGGGAGGAGTTAACGATGCCCAGACCCCATGGTGCCACCGGCCAAGGCTGACCCTGTAATTACAGCAGTTAAGAATAGCCTCCCAGGGCCAGTGAGGCCTGGAATGTCTCCGATCACTCCCAGATGGGCGGCCGGGCGGGTGCCCGCCCGCCCTCCCTCCTGGTGCACCGCGGGTCTGCGCCTCGGCAGAGGAGCTGGGACCTGCAGCCCTCTCTGAGGCCGGGGGGCCCCAGGAAGGGGTGCCGGCATTGGACGTCAGGTGATGGGTGAACCGGGCTGAGGGTGAAATCGCAGGGCGCCGGCTGTGGGCACGGTGCCCTCAGCCGCACCCCTCGCAGATTCCTGTCCCAGCCGGGAGAGCCCTGTGCTTCTAGAAGCCAGCACGGCAGGCCGGGCTCGGCGGGGGGGCCTGGATCCCCGCCCCGGCCTCTGGGCTGCCCCTCTGGGAGCTGGACTGTAAAGAGCAGGGCCTGGGGTCATGTCTGGAAAGCTGGCCCAGGAATGGCCCCGCCAGGGCAGCCAGGACCCATGCTTGGCAGAGCGGAGGTGGGGTGCAAGGGGGCACCAGGCCAGTGCTGATGCTGACCCCACCTGCACCAGCCGCAGCACTGCCAGGGTCGCGGCTGCACACATGCAGCGTGCGGCTCCAGGTTGAGGGGCCGGCGCTCAACAGCCCCTGTCAGCACTCCCCCTGCGTCCCGGGGTCCATCCCCGCAGCAGTACGGTGCAGGGAGGAAGGAGGCTGGGGTCCTCATCGCTGCTTCTTCACACCAAAGTATCCGCCTCTGGTCAGACCCCACCCTCAGGCTGCCCCCCGAGATGGGTGCCCCCGCCGTGCCTGGTAGCTTGGGCTGCTCGTGACAGCCCAGCCCACCGGCCGCCCGGTCTGGCCCGGGGAAGCGTGTTGGGAGCCTGTCCCCATCTGCACAAACGGGCAGAGGGGAATGGGCACAGAGCCTCTCTGCTCGGGGCCTGTGGCTGGGAGGGTGTGGGCGGAGCTGGTCCTCCCCATATGGCCCCGGGCCGTGGGAGCCCCTGGAGGGCTGCGCCCAACTGGGTCCCCTCTTCGGTCCCCTCCTCCCTCCTCCAGCCCCTGATCCAATGAGAGTACCAGTGCCCTGTTCTGGGAGGGCTGGCCCTGCAGCCAGCCCCACTGCGGGGTCCCTTCACCCCCACTGCTGACCCACTGGGCCAGGTTTGGCTTCACAGTGAAAACATTTACGCAGCGGCAGCCACAGGCCCACAATGGCCCCTTTGATGGGGCTGTGGGGGGCGGGAGGCCTCACAGTCCTGCTCCCCTAATGGGCCCCAGGCCTGCAGGAAGCCCACCTGGGCCGCCGTGGGAAGAAGGGGCCACCCAGACCCACTGCGGCCGCCTGACCCACGCCCGCCTCCTTCCAGCTGATTCCAGAGCCTCGCGTGGCCGGGCCTGGCTTGGCGCTGACATCAGCGCCCCGGGTCACCAGGCCTGCTCCCCAGATTTGGCTGGGCTGCCTCCTTCCCCCACTGGGGTGAGGCTGGGGCCGGGGCCGGTGACCCCTGACCCGCAGAGGGACCGGGCCTGGGGCTCGGGCAGGCTGGCCCCCCCACCTCCCCCCGGGCACAAGGAAAGCCACTGTGCCTGTCACTGTCCCCGAGCTGCCAGCAGCCTGGCCCAGGCCTCCCTCGCCCTGCCCCCACCCCGGCCTGTGGCCTTCCTGGAAACACTCCCACTTCCGGGGTTTCTGGAAAGCCCAGCACGTCCCACGTGCAGGGCATGAAGGGACAGCGCCATGCCTTGCTGGCCAGTCAGTCAGACCTTTGGTCTCGTCCCAGGCCGCCCTCCTGACTCTGCCCCTCTGTCTCCACCCAAAGAGGGATCCTGCCATTAGGGTTCCAGCCTGAGCCGGGGCGCTCGGGCCCAGACCCTCCAGGGGAGCCCGGTGGCCAGAGAGGCCCTCTCCAGCCTCCCACTGGGCATAGCGGCTCTTGCTGGTGGGGCTGGGCTGGTGCAGAGGCTGCCCCGGCCCCCGCCCCCCCGCGC